CACCGCAAGATTCGAAAAATCAATTGAAAACTATGAAATTTTATAGTTCTCGAAGAGTTCTACAGTTCCTGATAGGTTTTAACAATAGTTCCGGTCTCTAAGTTATTTTTAATAACAATTAAACCAGCGCGCTGGCACCGCACTACAAGAGTAAAGTACTCTTTAACAGCCAGTTCCAGCCGACTTGTTGGCATTTTCCTATAGTTCTACAATAGTTCCGACGATTTTTATAGATTTCGATCGGAGTTCTTGTCTTTAAATATTTTCCAATAATAATTAAATTTATGGACTGGCACCCCACCACAAGAGTAAAGTATCTCTTAAGAAGATTGTAAGGGCATAAAACACATATATTAATACTTACGCTTTAAACAAATTACATATGTGAGTTGATAACATTGTCTTTATTGAGCAACACATTTTTATATATTATTTACATTATTTGTTATTAGTTTTATTGTTATGAACAGAAATTTTGAAAATAACAAAAATCTAAATTTTTTTATATACATATTTGAAGTACTAAAAATGACTTATGCAAAGTTTCATTAAGATTCACCAATTATTTTACAACAAAAAAATATTTTGTTTATTTACTAAACATTTAATGTCTTCATTTTAATGTAACTGCACAACTTTACGTGAGTGTGTATGTATTGTTATTAAAAAGTACTTAAAAGGCAGAACTCTGAGCGAAATCTATAAAAATCATCGGAACTATTGTAGAACTATTGTAGAACTACAAAAAAGCCAACAAGTCTGTTGGAACTGTCTGTTAAAGAGTACTTTACTCTTGTGATGCGGTTACAGCGCGCGGGTTTAATTGTTATTTAAAATAACTTAGAGATCGGAACTATTGTTAAAACCTATCAGGAACTGTAGAACTCTTTGAGAACTATAAAATTTCATAGTTTTCAATTGATTTTTCGAATCTTGCGGTGCCACGGGAAGTTAGCACCGCAAATTTTCAAGTGTTATTTTTTTTAACTAAATCAACGGAATTATTTATAAAACCTATCAGGAACTATAGAACTATTGCGGGTGCCAATGGAACTCTTATCAAAATTTGCGGTGCCAAAAGATGAGGTACCAACTTCACACACGTCTTACGTGTTACATTTATAATTATCATAATCAGTGACCGTTTACTATTTTTCAATAATAATATGCTGAATCACTTTTAGAGAGTAGAATAATTTAAAATATTATCTCAGTAAAATTACCTCTCGCGTATAAATCTCTAGCAGTCTCTTTGCCGATACCACTATTTGCTCCCGTTATTACAACAGTTTTGTCATCAAGACATACTTTGCTCGTACACATTTTATTGAGAAACCACATTTTATATGTTTCTTTATGAAGTTATTAGTTAATTATTTTTATTACAAATTGCTCAATTTTATAGAAAATGCTACATATTACTAGTTAAGCGCTCGTATATGAGTGTTCTTATATACTGTTTAAAGGCCTTGAAATCAAAACCTATCTCACTTCCAGCTCAATAAAAATTTTGTTTTGTAGCGAGTGACATTTAAAACTCTGTCTTGTTTTGAAGCCAAAAAAGAGACATAGAGAGTTTTAACTTAAGATCAAAGTAATTTTTTTGGTGCAATCGGGCCCGAATCTCGTAAACTCACTTTAAAAAGGTTATAAATCTATGTTGTTATATAAATTTTCATAAAAAAAAACAATTGTGATATTATTTCTAATAAAATTTACGTCATTTCATCGAAGTCAGGCAAAATGTAAATATGACATTAAATCGTAAATGTGACATTAGTATTATAATGTAATTGCGATCATTTTGAATACATAAAATTATGTCATTTATCGACGTTAATAGGCAGAATGTAAATATGTCGTAAATGTGATATTAGGGCTATGGCACACAAAAAAACTTAAGCAATAAAATGTAAGCAATAAGCGAATTGACCAATCACAGTAGAGTACATAAGGCGATAACATAAATAAATAATCCAACATGTTGATTTCCTTACATCTTAAGCTTTTTGTGGGCCATGACCTTTAATATTATAATGTAATTGCGATCATGTTTAACATGACAAATAAGACGGTTGGACGGTTGTGTGTGCGAATTTGTGTTGTGATTTTGTTGTTGCATCCTTGTTCATCGCCCGGAGCCGCAAGCTCGCTTCTTCTTTCGTAAGTCATGAGTCATAATTAATGATATTCCTAATCACTTTTTTTTAGACGGTTTAGTGTTGCCCTCAACACGAACTTCGATTTTTTAAACATTTTATTATTATTATTATTATTATTATTTTATTGTGTACAGAGAAATTAAAAAGCATATACTAATGGTGAGGCAGTAACTGCTGTTACTAAACCTCTCAGAAAATGAAACGAATTACAAATTACAAGTTACAGAGAAATTAGTACAATTCCAGAAAGATAAGCTTCTTGCTTAATAAATAACTCGATAGTTTTAAGTAGAGGACATTTCATCTGCATACGCGATAGATGCACAAACTCGCGGTGGGATTTTGGACTATATGTTCAGCAACAACGAAAAGAATAACCAAAAAGATCTAATCTAGTAAAGAAACGAATGCTTCTAAAATATTGTTATATAAAATATTGTTATATGGTTATTTAACAATAATATACAATTTGAAATTACTGTCTTTTTCAACCAATAATAAATTTATATTTTATTTACACCATAAGCAACATCTGCACGGAAAGAACGATTTTATTTGAAGTGTAAAGTGTTTAGGTAGATACAAATACTAAAAATAATTTTGCTAGACCATCAAAATAATTATATTAAAAAACTCAAGCGTGATGAGGACAATGCTGCAAAATTTTGGCATTCAGATTGACCGTTCTACACTATTATTTTAATAACTTACCTATGTATGAATTTCAAAGTTTAGAATAGTTTAAAATCATCTCTTGTGTATAAATCTCTAGCAGTTTCCCTACCAATACCACTATTTGCACTTGTTACCACAACAGTTTTGCCCTCAAAATGTACTTTGCTCGCACACATTTTATTGAGAAACAACATTTTATAGTGTTTTTTATTTACGTTATCAGTTGATTATATTTATTGGAAATCACTTACTATATTGAATTCAGAGGAAGTGCTAGTCGATTTTGTACAGTGTTCTTTGTTGAATAGTTACATGATCGTATGTTCATGTTCTTATATACTACTTGAGGCCTGCATATCCCATTCTCAGCTCGTAATACAAGTTACATATATGGTATTTATATAATATGATATTTTCACGTATACATATATATGGGTGTATAATTACCGTGAGTACAAATCTCAATCTTTGCTACACTGTTGGAAAAAATGTGTCGAATTTAATTAAACCGCATGTCGCAAACGGTCCATTCAAATTTTTGGATTAATTCAACACAAGATAAATATGTTAGAAGGTAACACAAATATTATATAAGGAATAAATATAAAAAAATATTAACGACGTTAAACAATCCGTGAAAGCATTTTTTTCAGAAAATTAACATTTATGATATGTTAAATTAATACGTATTTCATTTATTTGTCTTAGAATTTACGTTTTAAACATTATTTTATGTTATTTGTGCACTTACTCATAAATTGTGTTATTTTGATACTAATTGTAAGAAACGTTGAACATCAATGTCACACAAAATCTTTAAATAACATAATCACATTATGTTAAATTAAAACTCGAATATGTTAAAAAATTTGACACAAACTCTTAACACAGAATATGAACGGACCGTTTTTAACACAAATACACAAGTTTTTTTATTGTGTAGCGAGCAGAGTAGGAAGCAATAAGTATAAGTACCTATCACACGTTGCAGCAAACACTCTCGCAGAATCACAACCTACCAGTAATTGATTCGATTTCAAGAATTATCAGGAAGTCTCGCAAGCAATTTGGAGCTGTTTTGCGAACATAAAATCAAATTTTTCTCACTACATTGATTATTGTTCGCTTTCTCCTAAAATTATCGATTATATATTGTATAAAGTAGATGTTTATATAACAATGTCAATATAATATTTGTAGACGTTTATATGAAATAATATATGTATGTATAATAATATAGAGAAAGTTAAGTAAGAGCGTGGTCGACCAGCGTAATGTTGCATCATTTCATTATTAGCCTTGAGAATAGTTTCGGTTTATATTTAAACCTTCCTGCCTTTCAGTTTTGTTTGTCCTTGACGCAGTATTAAGCCAGGATTCCGCGAAAACAGATTCATTATTTTTTTATCATCTTTTTTGTCCACTTTGCATATCGAGCCACATTCCGGGCCAAATCATCGACATTTTTTGTCATATTATATCACTACACTTCTGTATGAATGATTTCGATCTTTTCATATATTTAATAGCCGCTAATTGTGACATTTTTAGGTGAGTACAGAGGAACACAGCTTCATAGCGTGATGCGTATTTGGTACTCATGGCGCCTAATGTGATTCTCTTAAGTTAAAGTTCAATGACAACTGAATCTTCCTTGATAGTGCATCAAGAACAAAGGTGCCCTCTATGGATTCATGATAGATTTAGGGCGATATCTTTTATTAGCTTTGAGTAAGACCGACCACGATCTTACTTGACTTACTGTATATATGTTTATATAATAATGCAATTACTAGTGTTTAGAGAGAGAGTTATCAAAGTATCTATTTCTATCGTTCAAATATAAGTTTAATTCAATATAAGTTTCATGTAAAATATTATTTAGTGAATGTTACGGGATAATATATGTTTATCAATCTGAGTTGAATTAATTATCCTAAATTACAATGCACATAAATTTTAAGAGGAATCATAGGAATGCTTTTTACAGCAAATATTACATCAAAGGTTGCAATTTTTCATTTTACGGAAAAAGTAAACTACACGCCTGTGACGATTCGTTTATATCGGCTATTTGCTCAAAAATTTGATCAATATAATATAATATAGTGAGCGAAATGTAACATATCGCCACGTTTATCGCAACTACCCGTTTTGCTGCAGATTCAACTACGGTCTATTGAATTCGTGGACAGCGAAATTCGTGAACAAACTCTCGAGACGTCGCGTCACACTCGCTTATTGTGAATTGCATCGATCAGCCCAAGCTCGTAAATTTTCATTTTGAGGGAGGAGATTCGATGAGTATACGTGCGCTTGGACCAACCTTCAGATATCAACAACGTTCATGTAGTACACTTACATGGTACTGTTCTGTAAAGCTGCATGCAAACTCAAGCAAACATGAGTTAGAGTCGATAATGTGTACAGGTATATTCGAGATTTCACGAAAGACTTTCTACATACTACAGAGGTATTATAATATTATAGAGATATGTATAACTTAATTCACAAGTAAAAAATATATACATTACATAAAAATATGTATAATAAAGAAAAACATACTATGTATTGATTCATTAAAAACCATGTAAAGTTAAATTAAATTTATTGTTGTACTTTTTCTGTTACTTCGATTGATTTTTTTTATAGAATAAAGAACAAATTTTTACTTTTTTTTAAATTGAAGCCTGTTAATGTTGCCCATGTTCCGATGCGATATATAAATTTTATCTCGTGTGTGTGTGTGTGTGTGTGTGTGTGTGTGTGTGTGTGTGTGTGTGTGTGTGTATACACGTATACGCATACAATTTTTCATCCCATTCATTCGCAGCAAGAATAAGTATTGAATGAGCAAATCATATCAGTTTAATAAGCTTCGTTTTCAATAAAAAAATAGAACGTAAAACCATTTATTCTAAAAATATATACAAAGTATCCCTTAGAATTTGCAAATACGAAATTACAGTACAATTCTGTATCAGAGAATTGAACGTATATATGCTATTTTTTTTTTTTAATTATATAACAAATTTTACATGATATTTAAATATCATTATATGTAAATCTAATTTAATAAGAGAAAATTTTCTTTTATTCTACAGATAAGACATTCTTGTGCAAATTAGGCCATTGTTCATGTGTTATCTACTAATTTACTTTCACTGATGTCAATTAGAAAATTTTCTTTTATTAATTTAAAATATTCGAAAAGTGACATTTAGATATCATGTACAATTATTATGAAATCATTAAAAAAATAATAGAGTACATATCTAGTACATGCCGGATCTGATAGTGGAGAAATGATAATTTGCGGGATTCAAAATAAAAATAACATTATTCAACATATATACATTTAAAATAATCCTACTCAAGCATATAAAATCCTTTCTTGCTTTCCAATAAATTAACGAAAAATAACATTTCACGCAAAATTGTGATTTATATATGATAAAGTACGATTTCTACAAGTATAAAAACACAAATTAATAATAATTTAGACATTTTCATTTAAATGATGCACCTATTAATTTTGCAGCAAAAAATTTAATCCTCTGCTAGCAATATTGGACTTTAAACAGTATAATCAATTTTTTTATTGTGAATTCTGGTAAATTTAAAAATATGTAAAGAATAAATATAAAATACAATCCAACTTCTGTAATAATAAACATTCATTTTACATAACAAATACATTTACAAATGTATAAAAATTTTCTCAGATTTTTGTATTTTGTACAATCCGGAATAATATAAAAATTTGTACTAAAAGATCCCTAAGTTGTGGACAAAGATGAAAATTTTACATTGACAGAGGATTAATTTCGTTTAAAAATATTTTCCTTCTTCTTTTGTAAAATAATATTTTACGTAATAAGATTACTAAAAATATATTTAATATTTTAGAATAATTTTTTTTAATACTGAATATTATTGTGATTGAATGGAATCAATTTTATTCCAAATGAAAACACAACCTACAATTTCCGTTCATCAATGTCACCATTTAAAGGACTAATTAAATCTTTTCAATTTCAATTTCATCGCTTCACGGTTCTACATCGAATACGATTTTTGAATAATAATTTGGATTAATCACGTGCATGTAATTGTGAATTTTTGCGGGAGGTACGTTGTATTTAGCAACAGCTTGTTTAGTATGCGATGTTTCATGTGAATATGAAGAAATGTAATGTAGGCTAGTGGCGAACGCGATCGAGGATACTGGAACGCGAACGAACGTGCGTGCTGCATACTAATGCGTGTGCGAATGACTCCGTGCAAATACACGGGTTGCATCTGTGTGCACAGTCGTGCGTGTGGCACATGTGCTAACCGGATGATGCACTGCGGGATACGAGATAATTGTCATACGAATCTCCGGTATATTATTTCCTAATTATACGCGAGCATATCAGTATCGATGATATATTATGTTATTTACATGTTATGTTGTAATATACATACAGATTTCGCCATTATGTTAAACACTGACGATTAAGATAAAATAAGTTAGAGATGTCCTGCAAAAAAAGTGCAAAAAATGAAGATAGAATTCACTTCATTCATGCACTTAAATGTTTTTTTTTTATTGTAGTATACATTCAATTTAAATATTTAATATCTGTAATATCTAGCTCGAAATAAACAAATATAAAAAAATAATACTTAAAAAATGGAACTTTTTTTTTATTTAACAATAACATGAGTTAAAGTCTACATTTAATTTTTCCATTTTCTTATTATCAGAAAAATTTGATATTATTAATTTTTAAATTTTTCGTGGATAAAATTATTTAAAGTAACAGATAGCTGTAAATAGCAATTAGCAAATAGAGAGAGGGAGAGAGAGAGAGAGAAATTAGATTTTTCATTCTCTCATCAGAGTAAAAACACAAAATGAAATTTATATAATTAAAATTTCACAATCTCGGCCAAGGAAAATTTTCAGTCGAATTACTTGCTTCAATCGATTATTCTCTCAGTTCACATGAACAGCAACGGCTGAATGGCGATGCAGCTCGCGATAGTGCAGATAAACGCCATGGCTTTTTAGTATTCTAAGGCCAAGTACTGATCATCGTTCAAGCATGAAAGAATTCTTGGCTATGTGGAAATATTGCTATAGGGTGTAGTGAACAAGTGTGCGAAGTTTACGAGGTACCATGCATTTACTGCATAATATTCTCACTTAAATATCTCCTATCCTCTAAGTAATATATTATAGCTCAGCTTTTTTAAGATCAAAAAGATTCTTTGTCTTTAATCGTTATGCTATATATTTTTAATCACAAATAGTAAGACGTGCTATCAATTACGAATCATTGCTTATCATTACGAAATGACCTCAAGATAACCTTATTATTATATTAAAATCGCTTATACTCAACAGGTCAAACGATGTATTCACGTAAAAAAATTTTAGTACATAGCTTTCTATCAGATACAAAAAACAGTGATAATTCTAATTGGAGCAGCGAAATATTTTTTTGCCTACCTCATTATATTTCATTATCGTTGCAAATCAAATTAGGCGATAATAGTAGTTACAACAGTTCCATTTGACCTGCTTTTTTTCAATCATAATTGTTATTGAAAATCGTACAATGCACAGATGAATTAACGAGCTGTCCATAGTATTCTGAATTCAAGCCTGTGTGTGATTATCTCACTGACAGAGATTCCGTGCGCGCTTTTAATTGTCGATAATACGACGAAGATATTCATTGGCGTCTCTCCTCCATATACAATGAAGAATGGGTTCATCTCGAGCGAATAAGAGTCCTTCAGACGACGAGCGCTATACTATTTAGAAATCTACTCGAACATACAAAGGGATGTCATCCCTCTCGGTGGAGGTGGCGATGCTATGCCCGAGTGCTCTCTCGTGCCACGTACAGGACGTACAGGACGTGCGTCGCGACGCGTACGCACACCATGGTCCGTCCGCTGGTTGTTAACTTTCAATAGCACGGGTCGAATAACACCGACGAACTTTGCAACACGCGACACAGGATGGCAAGAAAAAAAGGGAGCGTGGAAGGCGCGGGAGCGGAAAACGGGAGACCACCCGCGTATTGTTCGAAAATGTGTCGACTCGCAACTCGTTAGTCTCGTACTGTAGTAATATTAATAGAATCGGAATCAAGAGAACTCTTAACAAATTTTTGGTTATAAATTTTGTATATTCACTCACGTATTCTCTTTTCAAGGATTTATTTAAAATATTTGTTATTTAATTTTAGAATAAAATAAAAAATTTAAGTACACTCGTACTTGTAGCTGTCGAAATTGCAACAGCAAATAATCAGTTAATAATAAGGTCAAAATACGAGCAACGGGATAGACTAGAATTTTAACTAGTTTATTTAATGATGGAAAAATCATAGAAATTCTTATAATTTTTGCATTATTGAGTAACTAATTTAATTTTTAATGTTTGATTTAATAAATTAGTTTAAATTCCAGATTTATTCTATTACTCATGTTTTAATATTAGAAAATTATGAAAAAGTTTCATTGTATTCCATTGTTTTATTGTTTAAAAATTAACTTTTACTTTGTCTTATGCTTTTAATCCCTTCGCCACAATATCGTGATAAGAGAGAGATACGAGATTCGTAATAAGAAAATCGGGCCAAACATGAGTATCATGGATAAGAGTTGTGATACGTCGATCGGGCTAAACATAAACAACACGTATCGTGGTTAATTTTTAATGTCTTTCCGTCTCAGTTACGTGTTATTCTTGGCCGAATTCGCACGTTCAAATATATTTTCTTAAACATATTAGGAGAATATCCATTAATTTAATTTTTAATGTTTGATTTAATAAATTAGTTTAAATTCCAGATTTATTCTATTACTCATGTTTTAATATTAGAAAATTATGAAAAAGTTTCATTGTATTCCATTATTTTATTGTTTAAAAATTAACTTTTACTTTGTCTTATGCTTTTAATCCCTTCGCCACAATATCGTGATAAGAGAGAGATACGAGATTCGTAATAAGAAAATCGGGCCAAACATGAGTATCATGGATAAGAGTTGTGATACGTCGATCGGGCTAAACATAAACAACACGTATCGTGGTTAATTTTTAATGTCTTTCCGTCTCAGTTACGTGTTATTCTTGGCCGAATTCGCACGTTCAAATATATTTTCTTAAACATATTAGGAGAATATCCATAAAATCCTTTCTTGCTTTCCAATAAATTAACGAAAAATAACATTTCACGCAAAAT